GCAAAAGTTCTAAATAGAAAATAAATAAATAAAAATTTTCCTTCCCAAAATTCTAAAATCCAGATCCAGGAAAGTATTCTAAAGAAAAAAAGAAAAGAAATGTAAATGATTTTTAAAGAAAAATAAATGAAAAATGAAAAAAAAAACACCCTCTCAACTTATCTTACATAGCTCAAGTCGAAATCCAGATCCAGAAAGGCGTTCTCTAAAGAAAATAAACAAAAGAACTGGTAATGACATTCCAAAAACAAAAAAGAAAAAAAAATCTACCACAACTTACCTTTATGACCCAAGCTGAAATTCAGGTCTAGGTAGCATCTCCTAAAGAAAAGAAGCAAAAGAAACATAATAGTGTTCTAAAGACAAAGAAAAATAAAAATCTCACAAGAAAAGCAGCAAAAGAAATGTTAATGGCGTTCCAAAGATAAATAAACAAAAACTATCTCTCATACCACCTTACCTTTATAATCCAAGCTAAAATTCAGGTCCAGGAAGGCATTTCCTAAAGAAAAGAAGCAAAAGGAATGTTAATGGTGTTTCAAAGACAAAGAAGAAACAAAAACAATACCCCATACCACTTACCTTCATAGTCTAAGCTGAATCCAGGTCCCCTAAAGAAAAGAAGTAAAAAGAATATTAATGACGTTCTCAATAACAAAGAAAAAATAAAAGCATCAACTTATTTTCATAGTCCAGCTGAAATTCAGATCCAGAAAGGCATTCCTTAAAGAAAAGAAGCAAAGAAACTTTAATGGCGTTTTAAAGACAAAGAAAGACAAAAAAAAACAAAAAAAAACCCACACCTAACTTACTTTCATGACCCAAGCCAAAATCCAGGTCTAAGAAAGCGTCTCCTAAAGAAAAGAAAAAAAGGAATGTTAGTAACTTTAAAAAAGAAAAACTGAATTTACCCCTTATTCCAATATATCTTTTAATCTAAGCCATTCAAGTAAATTCTGAAGTTCAAGTCTGATCCTAAAGAAAAAAAAGGGTTTTTTTTATAAAAAAAAAAAAAATAAAATAAAGTAATCAGATTATTTGATCAATTTTATCATCTGCATAATGTTCAATCAATCTGATGTTATCTGAGAATCACATTCAAATTATGCGCGATCCATTCATTTATAATCTGAATAATCTATTTTTTAATCAGATCAAATAACAGATTGAACAGATTTCACTGGAGCATACCTCTAGTTTAGGATAGGGAAGGTCATAAAGATTTGTAGCAATAGAGTAAAGCCTGTGTTATACATTAGTATAATTTGAGATAGTGCAGCACATTATCTGGTATTAAAGCCAGTTGGTATATTAACATTTTCTTCAGTATTTCCAACAGAGTTATTCACATTTCTAGTTAAGCATATATATCCCTAATGTTCAAATCATCAGGAAGTTTCAAATAGGCATATAATGTATCAATATATACTATGTATTGATCAACATCAAAGTGTTAATATACAAACTCTATATTAATCAATGCTATTTAAAAGAGCATTGATTAATACATGTTAAATATAAAACAACACATAGTAAAATAATGTTATCACACGACAGTGTTGAAAAACAAGTATAATAGTATTGATTAATATATTGCTTGATGTGAAAATATAATAGCAATCACTGTAATTTATAGTAATTTTTATTATAAATTTCTATGCTAAAATGCATATATATTTTAATACATCATAAAGTAAAATTGGTTAATTTATAATTAAAGGCGTAAAACACATTTAATCTATAAAATTCACATCATTTTCTAGGCTTTGATAAAGATTGCATAACTCTTTATCAGTGGAAGCATATTCACTATGTTGTGGGCTATCCTGTACTTCTTTTTTCTTCTCATATTACTCATCCTCATCATCCTAATTAAAGGTAAAGTATTTAATAACATTATAAGAAATAAAGTTTATGAAGCAATAAATGTTTATAATGTTACCTATTTATTACGTTCAATAACATCTTTTCACAACTCAATCACCTCAGTATTAATTTTCGTCAAGAGATATTCAACATCAAAAATTGTTTCAAGCACTAATTGAGTCTAAACAGCATTTTCTCGTATTAGTTCCTTATTGGATGCAAAAGTAAACTTGATAATAAATGCAGCATATGTGTCTGATGATGGGTCATCTAGATCACTTAGGCAATATAGATCATCATATACTGCTTTTATCTCTTTGCTTATCTTCTAATCTTTTATTTGCTTCTTGAACCAGTTGTCTCTAAAGGGCTTAATCCTATAAACCTGAAGATAGACCATAGGCTTTCTTTTACACAATGAATATAGTTCTTCTTCTTGATATGATTCACCCTAAGTAACTAGCTTAGTTTATTCAAATAAATTATTAGTTAATAAACAACATAAAATATGATAACTAAAAATATAAATTAAAATTGTAAATAAAAATACTAATAGCTGAATATAACTTTTTATTTCATAAATTATCATAGCTAATGTTGTTATCTTTCAGCTTTCAAAGTTGATTTGTGTAATATTCATCATCATTTAATTTTATCTTTAGGCGTGCTTTGAGTTCATCATCTGTTAGTTGTTTGTGTTCGTAAAATAACTCATAGGACAATTTTCGAATTGCTTCCTATAATATAAATTAAGTTGATAATTAAAATAAAGATAGAGTAAACAAAAGAAATATTAATAAAACATATGTATATTTACTTGATGAAACTCACTTTTATTTTTCTTTCCTTTATTTTTACCACTATTTTTAACGATTCCAACCTCTGCATTGACTTGTTGCTCCTCAAATCTTAAAAAATCTTATTAATTTTGTTCTTTTGCTTAATAAGCATCGCCTCTAAATTTTCTTAACTTTTTGAAATTTGGTCAAGCTTCATATTATTTTTTTGGTAGAGTTGCAATATTTTATCTAAAATACGTAAATCAATGGTAGCTAATTATAATAAATATATATATATTAATAAATATTATATAATAAATACGTTTATAGTATGTAATATAAACTCAAACCTTCAACACATTTTTATTCTGTGATGATAATAATGATAAAATATCAATTCTTTATGATAGTGTTTCCATTTATAATGCTGAAGTGCTAGCTAATGGCATTTCTGTTGGCTAATATAAAAATATAATAAATACATTAAATTCAATTTAATATAATGATAAGTGTATCAAATAAAACAATAAAACTTACCATTATTGATTTATGAGGTATTGATTTTTTGATAGTATTGATAGTAATATTAGGTGTGATGGTGGTGTTGAGCTTGATATTAAGCTTCTTAGTAATGACAGTGGGTTTGGTGAGTGTGAAGATAATAGTAAGTTTGGTAGGTGTGAAAATGGTGGTAGGTTTGACAGATATGGAAATAGTGGTAGGTTTGACAGATATAAAAATGGTGGTAGGTTCATCAGCAACAAGTAACATCAATTTATTATAAGAAAATAAATTAATATTTTTGATATGAGTCTTTTTTAATATTAGTAGAGTTACTTTTGCGTTATCTTTAAATGCTTATTATTATTGGTATGTATTGATTAATATATTTGTTAAAGATTGAATAAAATAAAGTAAAATTATCTTATACTATCTTCTAATATCTAGAGAATTATAGTATATAAATGTTAATAAAATTAAATAAATGTATATAATATAATAACAAAATAATACAAATACAATTACAACTTTATTCAAATGTTTTGATTTTCTAACTAGCAGATATTTTAAAAAGGATGTGTTGAGAGTAAAATTGTTTTGGCTGCCACTCATTTTTGGGTTATTACTTGAAAATTTGATTTTTTTTTCTAGTAAAAAGATGATGTATAGAATAAGTTATTTAAAAATGTAATATATCATCATAAAATAACATTATTGATAAGCATATCATTTCGTCTAAAAATACTATACCTCTGTATAACTTTTATTATAGACTTAGAAAATAATTATCTATCTTGATCTATCCATTTCGTTCAACACTCAGAATCAATTAATATAACATGATTTAACCTTAATCACAGGAAATATCATACCGGCTTATTATAATGCTATACCAGCTAAATGTAATGCAAATAATAATATATTAGTCCTATTCATAAGATCACTCAAAAAAATTCAAGTCTTTGGTCATTGATAAACACTTGAATTTAATTATAAAAATTAGAAACTGCGTTAGTTATCATAAAATTAAAAATTGCATTAATAAATACGAAATTAAAAAATTGATAAATTAATTTGTTTATAATTACTACTATAGAAATTATATTTTATATTATAATGCATTATAAACCAAATCGTATTTCTAGTAAAATTATGATTTTATATTCTATTGTTACTTAATGCCATTTTATAATTTTTGAATGATCTATCATTTATTTGATGTCATTTCTACCATTGTTACCATATGCAACTAATTAAATAAAATAAATTTGAAATTTGAAAATTTTATTCCTTTTTAATATCGAATAAGATATTTTATTTTTAAATATATTATTATATTAAAATATTTACAAAAATGAAACACATATATTCACATTGTAGAAGAACTTTTTCTCGTTGTTCTTCTTTGAGAAATCACATTAAAATTCATGATGGTGTAATTGATAAAATTCTAGAAAAAATCGTTTAAGAAGATATACAATAAATAAGTGAAAAAAAAATATGAAATGACCTAATAGAAAGTAATAATGATAATGTGATGAACTATGAAAACTAAGAGATTATTAATGTTGAAGAAAAAGGAGAAGAGTAGGAAGAAAAAGAGTTGCTTAATTATAATGAAGAGTTGATTAATGTTGAAGAAGAGAATGAAGCTGATATGAAAGAATATGTAGAAGAAGAAGAGTTAGTTAACCCTAATAAAGACATTGAAGAAAGAGAAGAAAAAAGTTAATTAATGATGTTTAAGTAAAATTTTTATTAATTAAACTATTGTATATGTATAACAATAGTATATCAATAATACAAAAAGTTTGATGATCAACGTTATTTATTTAAATTAATTATTTAAATTTACATTTAAATATAAAAAGCATATATTAATTAATGTTGAACTTACACTAGTCTTTAAGTCTCTCTATATTAGTAGTTTAATAATGGATAAGCCTGAGTTACCAAGTGAAAAGTTTGGGGATTTTATGACATTACATGCAAAGTGAAATTTATCTGATGCATGTAGTAGTGATATACTTAAATTTTCATGTAAAATTTACCGTAATGATATAAGATTACAACTTTTATAAGGCAGGCTATCAATTAATAAATCAAATAAATATATCACATATTTCATTTAATAAGATGCCTTTCATGATATATAATAAAACAACATATTACCTTCGTTATTGTTAAATTTTCAATACTGTAAAGGAACTGTTAAGCAATCAGGAAATATATAACAATTGTACCTTTAAATTTACACCATTGTATCATAACAGATAGAGAGTTTACCATGAGTAATATAATAGTAAGTGGTGAGAAAGAATATAAGGATCGCTTTCTGAAAAAGCAAAGGTTTTATCTATCATCTTGTATTCTGATGTGATAATTTGTAACCATTTGGATAAGTTTAGTAAGCATCCAATTTATTTGACGTTAGGTAACATAATTAGTTAGTGCAGAAATAAATCCAATGCCAAAGTTCTATTAGATTATCTTCCAATTTTGAAAGCAAAATCTATCTCTCAAAAAAGATCTAAAAGCTTCAAATTAGCAAAATGTACCTTTTATCAATACACTTTGGATATATTAATATGTCTATTACTTGATTATAAAGACAATAGATTTGATCTTCAAATGAATAATGATATCCTATGGTATTATCTGTTTATTTCTGTAATGTTAGGAAATCTTCCAGAAAATGCTGCGATGACTTTGATATTTAATTCAGTTAATTGTAAACATTCATATCACAAATGTTTAGTGGAAGGTGATAATTTAAATAATGTAAAATTATCAGACGACCAAATTATTTTGAGGACACTGAACACAATGAAAGATTTTGTTAAACAGGGTGGTTTTGCAACAATATTCTTTGCATAATATAGAGAATATTTTTTGGAAATACTCGTAAGTATAATTGTATTATATTAAAATGTGATAAATTACATATTAAATTACATAATATATTTTAACGTATTATTCTTTATTTAGTCAATTAAATATTTATACAACAATGATTCCTGACTATATGTACCATCTTGATTTAGAATTATTCAACTATTAAGTAATCTACACTAAAGAACTATTAAAAGAATTATGTGGTTAAATAGCAATTGATGAACTTGATAATTGATTAGTTAGAATTCTAAGATTCTTAGCCTCAAAATATTTATTTTTGTCATTAAAAGGATTATCATAAAACATCACAAAGAAACAATAACCACTAATTATGCCAAACGAGTAGATGAAGCATTAGTTGATGTATATTACCGTTAGAATAAAATATATTTATACAGCTGTCAAGAGTATTTTTTAGAATCAGAACTGAGCAATTTTAATGTATAGTAATTTAATATTTATATTTTACATATTATATTCAAGATTAACATTTTATTTTATTATAGAATCTAATTATAAATTAGACAATATTATTTGTAAAGCTCTTTCAAAAATATTCGCCATCAAAACTTAAATTGCCAAAATTATATAATTAGCGTTATCATATTATTTTATCAATCAAAGAATATGGTGCTATTAACAGGTTTACAATGGAGACATATGAAACTTTACATAAAGATACTGTTAAAAAACCCTATAGAGCTAGTAATAAGCGTCAACCAACAGACCAAATGATTAAAAAGGTTAGTTTAATGCATGATGTATATTAATATGTAAACAATTTGATGTTCTCTTTTATATGTAGATTTATTAGAATGTAACTTTAAAATATTTGCACCACCATACAGTTATTAAGCAATATCAACAAAAAACTACAATGAATAACTTGTTGAATACTTTTTTTTTTAAAAGATTTTGATATATTTTTTGATGATTACAAATCTAAAAATATTTTGGCTAGTAAAGCTTTATTGGCTTTAGAACATTTTATTCTAATATTAAACGAGTTTTTTGATTTATATAATAATTTATATGAGTTAGAAAAACTAAAATCAGATGGTATAGTTATGCTAATATTTCTTCAAATGGTGATTGTATTAGAGTGAATAGCATGTATTATAATGAGCTATCATTTAGTGATGTGTCAATTAATATAAGTGAGAAGGAATCTGAAGACTACAGTCAATGATCAAAATTATGCGAACATTTTTAAAATCAAAAAATTTATATACACATAATATAATAAAAATAAAATTTTAACAAAATAAATTCAAATATATCTTTATTTATTGATTTATAAAAAAATTTAATTAATCCTATTTCCAATTGCGGCAATTCGTCACAGCAGCTACCGATCAGTTTTTTAATATTTCAGATGAAAATTTTTCCATGCATCCTTTACATATTTTTCAAGCACTTTAATACTAGATGGTGGTAGAGTTAGTGTTAAAGAACCAGTTTCACGAAGACGTTTAAGAATAATATAGACATGCACCCTAGCTGTATAGCTATAGTATAATCTGACTGTCCATATTTATAACCATAAATAATAGCATCACGAGTTTTGGAAATAAGTACTTTCATATTTGACATGAACTTATTTAAAAGAGGAAAAGGTTTAGGGTATTGTTTATCGTCATAAGTAAAAAATGACGTATTGTTTTAATTATGTAATCACATAATGATCGATTTGCCTAATTTTGACAAATTAAAATGTCCGCATAATTTTAGTCGTTGACTGTATAATACATATGAAGATGCTTGTTTTGGCAAGATATACACATTATTTATTTGTCAATAAAATGATATTTTGAGTAGTTAATAATTAATAAATAACTTATATTATGTAGATTCTTATGTTAATTGACGTTATAATCAAAGATTATTCATCTTTTGATCTTGTCCTTATACAATGGTATGATTTTTGCTATAAAAATGATAAACATTATTTATATAAATATAGTTGTCCATTATTACAGATTACAAACATGTACAATGTTATATCTATAGAGTCAATTATAGAATTGATACAAGTAGTACAACAGGCTGAATAACAAAATAAATATTTTGTTAATATATACATGTTTTAATAAAATTATATTGGTTATTAAAATTTATTAAGTTAGAAATACATCCATTAATATACAGCATTGCACAATGGCATATAATGTGTTAAACAATATATTATTATTAAAAAATGCATTTTTTAACATTATATGTTGATAAACTCTAATATATGACATTTTTTAATGATATATATCACGTTGATCATTAGATTAATATTGATCAATATATATATTAGCATAAATCTACATCTTCAAAACTTTCTGATGATTATTTACAGTGTGGGCAAGATCCTCCTGGTAGATTAT